TAATTTAGGGAAACTACCAGGTGGCCGGAGGAGGGCCTTCTGTTGAATATGCGTTAAAGGCTCAGGGTTTGGTAGTGCTGCAATCACACTGGGCCCATTAGGCTTTACTGTGTTTTTGCAGGGTCTAGGGTTCAGGAGGTGTAGGCAGCAATGGCTCAGGAATTTGAGATTACGGGCTTCATTTGCATGACAAACTTGGGATGCTTTTGCTCTAAGTAAGTACTTGAGATATCCCAACAGCTAACAATTTACGGGAGTCCCAAAATTTTGGGGTAGTCGCGAGGGTCAATGGAAAAGGTTTTGCTCGGGTCCATGGAAGTGCAATTAAGTTTTTGGGGTACGTGAGTGGAACACTGATTTTGGAAGCTTGCATGTTGACACAGGCTGGAGAGGCTCTACAGCGGAGCTTTTCTGCAGGCGCTCTTCCCACGTCTGGGACTCCAGGCACCGCAGACTCACGTGAGGTAGGATTTCATTTACGGTTTAAGGCAAAGCTGTTTCCCATCATGACACGCGCTATGAAATTGGTTGACTGTTTAAGGCTTAGGGCTCTGACATCGTGACATGTGGCGTTAAATCAGCAAGGTATTCGCCGTCATTGCGGATTTTCTTATGAGGAAACGTGTGGCATTCAGGCGTTTTAGATCTACCATAATAGAGCGCCGCTTTGGTCCGAAGTTCGGGCCGCGCGCTATGTCCTGATGCGGAAGCCAGAAGCCTGAACAGTATCCAACACCTATTTGCTAGAGTATAATGTGCTCCCAAACCTTTTCTTATCGTGGAGGTCCCTTAACTCAGGCATTGAACCCACACATTGAGAGGCCTAGTCGCGCCTCCAGGTTTCCCAAGGCTCTCAAGCAGTGTCCTGAGGTTTGCTTGAAATGCCGAGGGGACGTTGAGTACTGCTGATTATCCCCAACCCCTACCAGGACCCTATGACTCTCACATGTATCGTGTAGGTCCTTGGTATGCGGGTTGGGCTACGAAAATTGTACCTAGTATTCATGAATGATGGAGGTCCGCTATGTAAAGCCCCAAATAGTAGCGTCTTCTGCCTTGCTACATAAACCCCCCACTTCGTAATCTTAAAGATGGCCCCCCAAGATAGAAGTGCTCTTGAAGTTAAAGGTGTGATAAGATTAAATGTAGGGAGTTTGCGGGCTTCTCCTGACAGGTACTCTCGCCTTTGTCCAAAGCCTACACCTAGCATACATGGTAGTCTCCCTAAATAAGG